CAGCCACAGCGTGTGCAACAGCACGATACTCAGCCTCCGCACTCGAACGAGAGACCGTAGTCTGTCGTTTAGAGGACCAAGAGACTAAATTGTCGCCGAGGAAGACACAGTACCCTGAAGTGGAGCGCCGAGAGTTGGGACAGCCAGCCCAATCAGCATCGGAGTAGGCAGTCAAGCTTGTGATGCTGCCTGTGCCGATGTGAAGCCCGGTGGACAGGGTGCCTTTGACATACCGCAGGACACGCTTGAGCATCGCAAGATGAGGCTCTCGCGGGTCGTGCATGAAGAGGCAAACCTGCTGAACTGCATAGGCAAGGTCCGGACGAGTCAGCGTGAGGTACTGTAGAGCACCGGCGAGGCTGCGGTACTGGGTGACATCCGCCACCGGAGCGCCGTCCATAGCTGAGAGCTTGGCCTGAGTGTCAACAGGAGTCGCCGTAGAGTGACACTCAGCCATGCCGGCGCGCTGGAGCAGGTCCACAGCGTACTGGCGCTGAGACAGGAAGAGGCCATCAGCAGAACGCGTGACAGAGATCCCGAGGAAGTGATGAAGATCCCCGAGATCTGTCATGGCGAACTCGGAGTGAAGAAGCTCGGTGAGGCGTCGAAGAAGCGAGGTCGACGAGGCTGTCAGGACGATGTCGTCGACATAAAGTAGCAAGTAGGCGATGTCAGATCCCACTGTGTAAACAAAGAGGGACGTATCGAACGCCGAAGCTGTGAAGCCGTACCGCCGGATGAAACCGGAGAACCGCTGGTGCCACGCCCTGGGCGCCTGCTTGAGTCCGTACAAGGACTTTTGCAGGAGGCAAACATGGTCGGGAGCTGCCGGGTCGACGAAGCCGGGCGGCTGCTGACAGTAGACCGTCTCGTTCAAATGGCCGTGGAGGAAGGCGTTCTTCACGTCCAGCTGATGGATCGGCCAGGAACGAGAGGCGGCGATGCTGAGGACGACCCGGATGGTGGCCGGTTTGACAACCGGACTGAACGTCTCGTCGTAGTCGATGCCGTACTGCTGCGAGAACCCACGAACGACCCATCTGGCTTTATGACGAGCCAGAGAGCCATCAGCATGATACTTGTGCTTGAAGACCCACTTGCCGGTGATGACGTTGGCTCGAGGCGGTCGAGGAACGAGACACCAGGTGCCATTGTCCATGAGCGCCTTGTATTCTTCAGCCATCGCCGCACGCCAATTCGCATCGGCGAGCGCGGCGCGAGAGTTGCCTGGCAACGGAGAAGCCAGACTGGAGGCCGCTACGGTGAAGCCGTACCGCTGCATGGGCGGCGGCAGGGAACCCGTCTGGGAACGAGTCGCCCACGCAGGAGGCTCCTGCGGTGCTGGAGCCTAGGGCAGCACTGCCTGCTGCAGTGGGGCCGAAGGTGCCGCCGGCGGCGGATGTGGAGCCGGCGGCGGAGGCTGTGGAGCCGGCGGCGGAGCTGAACGACGACTGTAGTGGATGCCGAACCGCTGCCGGGCAGGGGCAGGGGCGACAACACCTGCTGGCGGAGGAGGTGCTGGAGCCGCGGCCTGCCGAGGAGCCGAGGGCAGCCGGTGAGCAGCGCCATGCCACAGGATGGCAGGGTCGAGTCCGACGGGATCGCCGGCATCGCCAGCGTCGTCTGAGCCAGACGAGGCAAGCGCCACCGAGGTCCGCGAGTGCCGAACGTCTGAGGTGGACGGGGCAGGCGCGGGAAGTAAGTCCTGTAACAAAAAATCAAGAGAATCCGGTCGAGGCTTGGAGGCCGCAAACGGAAAGTGAGTCTCATCAAAAACGATGTGTCGCGAGATGATGATCTTGCGAGTGGAGAGGTCAAGACACCGGTAACCCTTCTGTGATGGAGGGTAACCGAGGAAGACACATGCCGTGGAGCGAGGAGACAATTTGTGGCGAGTCGTGGCACTAAGGTTGGGGTAGCATAGGCAGCCAAAAACCCTGAGGATGGAGTAGTCTGGCATCTTGTGGTGGAGGAGATGATATGGTATACCGTTATTTTTGGACGAGGATGGCCGCCGGTTCGTGAGGAACACAGCGGTGGAGAGAGCTTCGATCCAATAGGATGGAGGCATGGCGGCATGAATCAGAAGCGTGCGAACACCATTGTTCAGAGTCCGGAGCATGCGCTCAGCCGTGCCATTCTGAGCGGATGTGTAGGGGCACGAGGTGCGAAGGAGAATGCCGCGGCCAGCCAAGAAGGTGGCGGTGGCATTGTTGAGGAACTCGGTGCCATTATCTGCCTGAAAACAACGGACAAAGAAAAAGCTGAATCAGTGTGAGCGTAAGCAACAAATTGAACAATGTGTTCATGAACTTCAGATTTATGACGAAGAGGGAACGCCCAGCAATAATGTGTGTAAGCATCAACTAACACAAGATAAAATTTATAACCAGAAATACTCGCAACTGGAGAGGTCCAAACATCACAATGAACAAGTTCAAAAGGTGCTGATGTACTAGAGACCGAACTAGCAAAAGGCACCTAGCATGTTTACCGAAATGGCAAGCATGACAAATGCGGCGAAATGCTTTATTACAATCGGATAGCTGATAGCTTATTTAGAGTAGCGACGACAAAGAGGGGCAGATGACCAAGGCGGAGTGCCACAGCTCCGGAGACGACGACATGAATGACGTGATGCCGAGGTGGCATGCGATGTGGAATGGTGTAGAGGTCCCCATGGCTATTGCACCGAAGGAGGACTGTCTTGGTCTTGAGATCCTTAACAGAAAAACCAGAGGCGTCAAACTCAATTGAACAATTATTGTCGCGAGTAAGCTGTCGAACAGATAACAGGTTACGGGTGAGTTGCGGAGCGACAAGAACATTATCAAGATGAAAGGAACGATCAGCTATTTGTAAGGAAGATGTGCCACGACTAAAGACAGGAATAGATTGCCCGTTACCAACCGTAATGGAGGACGGTAGTGACGGGAGACGGGAAAGAAGTATACCATCATTGGAGGACATGTGGGATGTCGCTCATTGTCCCATGACCTGGGGGAAGACCCACGAAACCGCCATCCGATTGAGGGCGGCAATCGGTCGGTCGCGCCCCGTGAGCCGTACCGCACCTCGGCGACGCGGTGGGAGTATCGGGCAGCGCCTTGGCGAAGCGGTGTCTTCTGAGAGGGGGGGCGGTGGGAGGAGGCGGCGCGATGGCGCGCCCCTTCTTCGCCGCCGAGAGGAGGCTTTGGGCCGACGGCCCAAGGGTTATAGCAGACCCAAGGACCGGCCGGCTAAGGAGCCTCACGTCCGCCTGGAGCGCCCTGGTGGGCGCCATGCTGCTGGTTGCGCCCGCCGCCTCCGTTGTTGCCGTTGCCGCCACGCCCTCCTTTTCCCTTGCCCCCCTTTCCCTTGCCACCACCCCCACGGTTGGATGGCGCGGGAGTGGGCCGGCAGGATGGCGAAGTGCAAGAGGAGGTGGAGGAGGCGACGAGTGCTGATGACGAAGCCTCCTTGCCCTCGGAGCCGAGGCGAAGCTCCTTGACACGAAGCATGTTGGTGGCAGCCGTGAAGTCCGGGAGCGGTGACGTGTTGGCGATGATGTCGGCGGTGGTGGCGAAGCGAGGATTGATGCCGCACAGGAGGTTGAGCACAAGCTGCGCGGGAGAGATGGTGTGACCAACCTCCCGCAGGGCGTCAGCAGTATGCTTCATCTGCTGGGCGTAGGCATCGACCGAGAGATCACCACAGCATGCTTTGGGAACTCCCCGCCGAGGACGACAAAGCGAGGCTCCTTGTTCGCCGGAACAGGCCTCGATGGAGACGTCTGAGGCACGCGCAGCGTCTTGATCGAGCTCCATGGCGAGGTCGAGGACGGTGTCGTCGCGCAGGAGCCGTACATCCAAACCACGGATGCAAGCGCCGGGCCGAGACCACGTGGGGTCACCGCGCAGCCTCCGCGTGACATCGATGTGGCCGAGCAGCCCGTGACTTGGCGCAGAGGGTGGTGAAGAACGCCTTCCACTTGGAGTAATTGGGGTGCTCGAGGTGAGGGGCGATCGGGACGTCTTTGCTGACGCGACGCGGCGGCATAAGCGGCGTAGAAGGCGGGGCGATGCCGTCCCCATGGCGCCGGAGGTTCCAGAGCCGAACACCGGAGGTAGCAGAGGAAGTCGTCGAGGGCGCTATGACGAAAGTCGACGCGCGCGACCTGTTCGCTAGAAGCGGGGCGCTGGTGGGCGCAACTTTGTCTTGGCGCGACTTCGCGTCGGGCGGCAGCAGAGGCGGCGGCTGCAGTCGGCAGCACATGGTCAAGGCAAAAGCAAGCAGCAAGCGCGGCTGAAAGCGACGCGATGAATCGCTGGCAGGCGAGGCGGCAGCCATTGGAGCGGGCTAGCGGCGGCAAGGCCGGGAGGGGCGCGCAGAGGGCGGCGGCGGCAGCCCTGTCTGGTGGTGTGGCGCGTGCCCTCGAGGAAGGGCACACGGGCAGCGGAAAAGGAAAGGAGAAAGCCCGGGATCAGGCCCCTAGAACTCGTGATACCATGTAGAATAACACCGCACCCCCTAATCAGGGGGGGTGGCCTTCATTATATAGCCTAATAGGCTAGGGTTACAATGTACACAGGCCAATGGGCCATACGCCCAATATGGGCTGTTATAATTACATTCTAACATTGATGATATTTGGGACGAATCAGCTTGGAATTTGATCAATGATGCACTGGTTGATAACAACTGTGGTAGCAGAGTGATCACAACAACTCGTGTAGCTAGAGTTGCTGCATCATGCTGCTCTCTTAATGGTGGTACAGTCTATAAACTAAAACCCCTTTCCCATGATTACTCCAAGAAGTTGTTCTACGAAAGAATATTTGGTCATGAAGATAGTTGCTACCCAGAACTGAAAGAAATATCTGAGAAAATGTTATGGAGCACCATTAACCATCATCACCATAGCTAGTCTCTTGGCTAATAAACCAAGGAATATAAGTCAGTGGGACATTGTGCATAGTTCCATTGGTTCTGGAACTGAAAACTTTCCTAGCATAGATAGCATGCGGCAAATATTATCTATCAGCTATTATGATTTACCATCCCATCTAAAACCTTGCTTGCTGTACCTAAGTATTTTTCCAGAGGATTACACTATTTTGACAGATCAATTGAGACGAAGATGGATATCCGAAGGCTTTATCCATGGTAACGATGTTGAAACATTACATAATCTTGGGCACCATTATTTCAGTGAGCTCATCAACAGGAGCCTTATTCAACCGGAACATATTAATACTCATGGAATGGTAGAAGCTTGCCGTGTGCATGATATGGTGCTTGATCTCATAACATCATTGTCAACCAAAGAAAATTTTGTCATTGTGTCACATGGTCACAAGCTCGCACACCTTCCAAAGAGGATTCGTCGATTTTCCCTCCATAATAACAGTAACGAAGAGCTCACTAGAACAGAGGTGACCATTAATTTGTCCCACACGAGATCACTTATTGTGTTCCCTGGTGCTGTTAGGCTGATGTCTCCTCTTTCAAGCTTCAATGTTTTGCGAGTATTGGACTTAGAAGGTTGTCGTGACCTGCAGAACCAGATCAGCAGTGTTGGGAGTTTGCTTCACTTAAGGTATCTAGGACTAAGGGATACAGGTATTACCAACCTCCCAAAGGGACTAGAGAATCTAAACTATTTACAAACCCTGGACTTGAAGCAAACAAGCATAAGTCATTTACCTTCAACTGTTGTTCAACTAAGACGACTGATGCACCTATATATTGAATTAGGCAGTGGTGCTACCACCTGGGATTGGTAACATGGAGTCTCTACAATTGCTGTCATCGGTTGGCTCCAGTAGCTGTGCAAACTTAACAAAAGAATTAGGCAGTCTAACAGAACTAAGAATCCTCCATATTTCACTTGATGGCACATTGCATGAGAGCCACAAGAATCCATTGGTTGATTTGTTATGCAACCTGAAGAAAATCCAAGAATTACACATTGATTCTACAGGAATATCCAATGAGTTCACTGTGGATTTAGCATGGTTTCCCCAGTATCTCAAAAGTTTCTTAGGAAGGGTGCCTAGATTGCCAAGGTGGATGAGCCCCTTGTTATCAGATCTGACCACTCTGGTCATTACACTCAACATGATACGACAGGAGGATCTCCAAAATCTTGGAGGCTTGCCATTTCTGCAGTTCCTTTGTCTTATTGTTGATTCTGCTGAAGAAATGATCATCACTAGCACTGATCAAGGAAAATTCCATTGTCTATCTGAGTTTCACTTTCATAATGATAAAATGGGGCTTATTTTTGCACCAGGGTCTATGCAAAATCTTAAAACCCTTGAGCTAACATTTAGAGTGAGGGAGAGAAAGGATGCATATGGTGATTTTGATCTTGGCTTGGAGAACCTCTCTTCAGTGAAGCATATCATCGCTAGGATTCGCTGTACAGGTTCCACAGTCTGTGAGGTGGAGGATGCTGATTTAGCCCTGAGGAAGGCAATCGATTTGAATCCCAACCATCTAAAGCTTGAGGTGATAAGATATTACAAAGATGAAATGTTGGAGGATGGACAACACTGGGGAAAAACTTTGGTAGAGGAGGACAACGAGAAAGTACTATTACCCCACTTTCCTGTTTACAGTTGCCATGTGTTTCAGAGTTCTAGCATACATTTTGTTTACATACCTTATTTTCCATTGATAAATAAGGGGGCGGATACTCTTTGTGGTGAAAGCATTTTATTGCCAATACCATATCAAGTTTTAAGTTAAAGCTAGTTCTAAATAAATCTTTGCTTTTGCCAATTCTTTTGTTAATTTCAAAGCAGTTCCAAAATAAATTGAATCAAGTCCCGCTACCAAATCCCACAATAGATGAACCCTAATTACTTATACAGTGCTTCCATGTACAAAAGTCATTGCCATATTAAGAGAATAATTAAACTTCTTTTCAGATAAAAAAACCCCCCAAAATTATAGTTTGCCAGCCTGAAATAATTTATTTGGTCTGCTGGACATTGCAAGAGGAAAGTATATGAACTTTGCAGTATACATTGAAGAGATACTAGTTCCATCCATTAGATATAAATTTTGGCCCGCGGGGATGGGGGGGGAGGTCTTTTCTTCATTTTGTTTAACAACGACACTTGGGGAAATAAAATTTTGTTTTAGTTCCACTAAAGTTTGCTCATTGTCTTTAATCCAGGTTGTCCTTCAAAGGAGAGGGCCATGGGGTGGAGATGGAGGTTGCACTTGTGACATCATGGTGGCACCCCAAAGTCTGAAAAGTGTGAAAATTTGTAGTGCGGCAGTTGTGGATGCACTCAGTTTTTGTTACCTTGACAGATAAGGGAGGGAACACAGCATGCCATTTTGGGGTGGTGTTGGTGGGATGATCCGAACGGTGAGTGCGCTTGAATATTTTTTTTGTTGTTTTGCTTAAAGGAGTTTTTTTGCACTGGGTAGCATATGGACATCTTTCTTGATCATATATAGCATGTTTATAATAGCTTAAACAGTTCAATGGCACGACACAACCTAGGCACAGTTTAGAACACAATAGTTCCCAAGAACACTAACAAATTTGTGTGGCCGGGATCGGAGCCTGTGGCTACTGATGGATGCTGTGATTGATGCATGTGTGACTTTTGGACAAATAACAGGCATCTGGGACAAACTTAGGAGCATAAAGCCATTTATATAGTGCTTTGGGAGGATATGCAGTTTGATTGTTCTCTTTTCTCTTCATCTGCAGATTGATCTTGGCCCCTCAGAGTTTGTGAAGGAGGTTTCTGGGACTTATGGGCTATGCTCTCCTCATCCGGACGTTGTTATAACATCACTCACCCTGGTGACTAATTTATGCAGCTATGGACCTTTCGGGCAACCGACAGGAACCCCATTTCACACTCGAGTAGACAAAACTGCCAGCATTGTTGGCTTCTTTGGGCGGTCTGGGATATATCTTGATGCAATTGCTGTTTATGTTCGCCCTTCTGAATAATAGCTACTGCTTTCTTGTATCCTTTGGCTAACTGTTGTGATTAAACCACAAGATGCATTATTGAGGATTTCATCTCTCTCCAATTTTTTAGATGATGAACGTCCCAGGTGGATCTACATATGAAGTTGCATATGGGCTGTCCTTGTTAGAATACTTGCAATAGCAATATAATCGAAAAAGTTACAAGTGTAACAATATTCAAAAACCTTCTCTAGCACAATCTGACGGTATCTGTATACCACAATCCATGATTAGCATGTTAAGAGTTGATTTTAGCTTAACAACATTGACCCAGAAAACAGGGGTTACCAGTGGCCTGGGTGTCACAACCCCACCTACACGCACATGATCGGAAGCGTGCCCAAAGACTGATTCCTTGGCCTAGGTCCTCCATAGCCACAAAAATATAGGGTGCTAACTAAATTATTCACTTAGATAATTACCTTCTAAACATCCCTACCTAACGATCAAGGTTTTGAGCCAAGCAGGGCCTGAAGACCATCAACTCCTGTGCTGGTGCTGCATGCATGCACTGAGCAGGCACGAGGATTTCAGCTGCTCTAAAGGGACGTCTTCATCTTAAGGTCAGTGCTAATTAATCTTGTATTAGGTGTGTTAATCAATTATGTGTAGCCCCAATATCATGTCCACATTACTAATCGAGGATCAAAGTTTGGTTCTGTTCATCATGTTTATGGGTTAATTCAACTTATGTTTGTCCAATTTAGCACTAATTAGTACCCTTTTCATGTTAGCCATGATGCTTCTTGGAGGGGAAACGCCCAAAATCTGAAACCCAAAACCGTTCCCCAACTTTTCCCCAAAGACCCGACAAAGCAAATTGCCAATTTGATGCGACTCCATGTAGGGATTATATAGTGGAAATCATCAACAAATTTACACTTTAAACGAGGTGCCAGCTTGGAAGCAGAAGCTGAAGTAATGCCAACGGTTGAACGCTGATGAAGCCTGAGCAGAACCCAATCCCCAACCTAGTACTCCACATGTCGCCGCTTATGATCCTGATGCTCCTTCATCACATCTTGCGCAAGCAGGAGACGATCACGAATATCCGCCAAGAAAGCATCTCTGTCACGAAGTTGCTGATCAACAGCAACAACCTTAGCAGCCCCCGGTATATAAGACAGCAAGGTTGGAGGAGGCCGGGCATAGACAACCTCAAAGGGGGTGGCACGGAGGGCAGACTGATAAGAAGTGTTGAAGCAATACTCCGCCCACGGCAGCCACTGCAGCCATGAACGTGGATGATCACCAGCTAGGCACCGCAGATGCATGACGATGATTCGATTAGTCACCTCAGATTGGCCATCCGTCTGCGGGTGAAAAGCTGAACTGCGTAGCAGCCGCACCCCAGCAAGTCTGAACAATTCCTCCCAAAAGCTGCTGGAGAAGACCGTGTCTCGATCACTAACAATGGAGCATGGAAATCCATGAAGACACACAATGTTCTCAAAGAAGGCCCGGGCAACAGACTGTGCTGAATAAGGATGGCTGAGGGCGATGAAATGAGCCATCTTGGAGAACCAATCAACAATAGTAAGCACCACAGATTTGCCACCAACACGTGGAAAGCCCTCCACAAAATCCATGGCGATATCGGTCCACACGTTGTCGAGCACCGGCAGTGGCTGTAAAAGGCCCGCAGGGTGCAGGTGTGCAGTTTTATTCTTCTGGCAAACCGAGCAGCTGCGAATGAAGTCGCGAACAAAACGATGGAGACGGGTGTTGAAGAAAGACTCCCGAATCCGATGCAAAGTCTTTTGGGCGCCTTCATGGCCAGTATTGTGAGCCTCACTGAGTAACTGCGGCCACAACGTCAAAGTATCCGGCATGAAGAGACGGCCCCTGAAGAGAAGCATACCGTCGACCAAGGACCATCCTTCCGGCGTCGAGCCAGCAGCGAGCTGAGCCCGAATGGCCTGAGCTGTAAGGTCAGTGTTGAGCTCAGCCCACAGTGTATCATAGACATCGAAGAGGGGTGCTGAGAGGGCTCGAACAGCAGGCCCATCTTCATCCCGGCGAGACAGGGCATCCGCAACGGTATTCAGCTTACCGGGACGGTATTCAACGGAGAGATCATATCCAAACAGCTTGGTCACCCACGTATGCTGAGGAATAGTCGTGCGCTGATCCAGCAAAAATTTGAGGCTCCAATGATCTGCACAGTGAAGGCGCGACCCCAAAAATAGGGCCGCCTGTGGCGCACAGCCTTGACCAGCCCAATAAGCTCCCGTTCATATGCTGTAAGCTTGGCGTGATGAGGAGCGACTGCCCGGCTGGAGAAGGCCACGACGCCGTCCCCTTGATGCAGGACAGCACCGAACCCGGCACCTGACGCATCACAGTCGACGATGAAGCGCTTGTCGAAGTCCGGCAGTTGTAGGAGAGGGGCGGACATCAACGCCCTCTTGAGCCCTAAGAAGGCCTCTTCCGCTGCCGGTGTCCAAGAAAACGCCTCACGCTTGAGAAGCGCTGTGAGGGGCTCGGCCACACCACCATAGCCGGCAATGAACTTCCGATAATACCCGGTGAGGCCGAGGAACCCGCGAAGGGCGCGAGCTGTAGTCGGCCGCGACCAAGCTTCCACCACTTCCACCTTTGTTGGATCCATAGCGACCCCTGCGGCCGAAATGATGTGACCGAGGTAGCCAACCGAGGGTTTGCCAAAGAAACATTTGGAGCGCTTGGCGAAGAGGCGGTGCATGCGCATCTACTGCAGCACGTTGCGCACATGCTGCAAGTGCTCTGCCCAGGTCGCACTGAAGATCAAAATGTCATCAAAAAATACAAGCACGTAGCGACGGATATATGATTTCAAAATATCATTCATAAGTGCTTGGAAAGTAGCAGGCGCGTTGGTGAGACCGAAGGGCATGGCGAGGAATTCGAAATGACCGCGATGAGTCCAGAATGCGGTCTTGGCAATGTCGTCCGAATGCATGCGCACCTGATGGTACCCGCTGCGGAGATCGATCTTGGGGAAGAAGCGGGCACCTTTTAACTCGTCGAGGAGCTCATCAACCACCAGAATAGGAAACTTGTCCATGATGGTGCTGTCATTGAGAGCCCGATAGTCAATGCAGAAGCGCCAACTGCCATCATGCTTACGAACAAGGAGCACCGGGGAGGAAAATGACGAAGTCGACTCCCGAATGATCCCTTGTTGTAGCATGTTGTCGCACTGACGCTCAATCTCATCCTTGAGGAGCTGTGGGTATCAGTAGGGTCGCACAGCGACCGGCGGGGAGCCGGGGACGAGGTGGATGCGGTGATCATGGCGTCGGCTAGGAGGCAGCCCGCGCGGCTCCTCGAAGATGTCCGCATAGGACAGCAGCAGCCCCTCCAATATGGCGCGGGAATCGGCGATAGCACGGGCAGCCAGAGCCTTGCTGCCCAGGCCGGTCCAGCTGTGAGCACGGCCCCGGTACCAGAAGGCCATCGAAAGGGTGTCGAAGTCCCAGAGTACGCGGCCACTGGATACCGAGAACCAAGTCAAAACCGCCCAAGTCAAGGGCGACACAGTTGATGGAGAAGGGTTCCCCATGGATGAGGACATCCGCGGCCAGGCACACAATGGGGCTGCGGACGCAATCACCATTAGCGAGCAGCACTGACAGCCTGTCGCGTGACGAGACCGGCAAGCCCAAGCGGTCAACCACCTCAGTATGGATGAAGGTGTGCGTGGAGCCGGTATCGACTAGCGCTTTGAGTGGAACACCCGCGATCGTCACCTGTAACATCATGGAATTAGCATGGCCGAGGCCAATCAGTGCATACAGGGAGATCTCCAAGTTGGTTATGTCGGCGCCAAGCGGGTCCTCCCCACCTGCCTCAAGTTCCATGACGAAGACGCCCTTTGCGGCGCACTTGTGATCCTTGGAGTATGGTTCCGGGCAGAAGTAGCACTGCCCGTTCTGCCTCTTCTCCTGCATCTCGGCCTGGGTAAGGCGACGAAAGCTAGAGCGCGGCCCTTCCGTCTTGCCATCCTGCAGACCCGCAGCAGAACCACGACGAGTGGAAGATTTGGGCGGCGCTGAGCTGTTGACAGTGGAAGCCTCCACCTGACGCTGCTCGTATGCCCGCGCCAAACTCATGGCATGCCGCAAATCGACGGGGTGCTGCAGCTCCACGTCAGAAGCCAGCGGCTGTCCCAAGCCACTAGTGTAGAGATCAATCTTGGTCCGCGTGTCGAGGTTGTCGCAACGCGAGAGCAACACAAGATAGCACCGCGAGTACTCCTCCACAGTTCCTATATGAAACAGGGCCTTGATCTCGCCGATAGAATTGGAGCCGATGGGCGGCCCGAAGCGGAGGTTGACGAAGTCGACCAAGCGCGGCCAAGGGACCATACCGAAGTCGTGCTCCATCTGATAGTACCACTCCGCAGTACTGCCGTCCAGATGCAAGGATGCCATCCACACCTTCTCATCTTCCGGAACCCGATGACCGTGGAAATAATTATCGCACTTGTTGAGCCAGGTGAGCGGATCTGACTCCCCGTTGAAGCTGGGGAACGGAATCTTGGGCGGCCGATGGGGCTCTCTGCGGCCATCGATGTCACTGCCGTAGCGGCCACCACGGTCGAAGGCGTGCTCGCCCTGGCCGTAGGCACGGTCCCCGCAGTCGTCATAGACGCGGTCGCCGCGGTCGAAGGCGCGCTCGCTCCGACCATAGGCACAGTCCCTGCGGTCGTTGTTCGCGTGGCCACCACGGCCTTCGAAGTCGCGGTGTCCGTCGCCGTCATAGTCGTGACCCCTGCGACTGTAATAGTCGCAGTCGTAGTGGCCCGAGTGGCGATGGCCCACGCGGTCACGCGAGTCGAATAGCGGTCGCGATCACGTAGGGCGCGGCCACGGAACTCCTCCTAGGCTCGATCCCGTGCGAAGCCCTGGTCGCGGTCCCTGTGTCGTCGCGATCGTCTTCCCCGCCGCCGTGGTGGGCATCCTCCCCGCCGCCCTTGCCAGCGTCAAGCTTGCCTG